CGGATCAGGAATTACACATCGGCAAATAATGCTGACTTCAATATGCCACAGCAATCACTCAAAGTTTTTATCACAGTTTCATGCCCATCCTTTCTCAAACCTCTCGACATAGGCAGAAATCAGGGTATGTTGGTGAAAAACCAGGCACACTAAAAAACTTGTGGAATTCACGTGCAGAAGTAAGAACAGCGGACAGCAACGAAAGACTAATGTAGCGTGAATATTAGAAATGATATAGGTGTCTACACCAAAACTATCAATAGCTTAATTGGAAATAGAGCACGCCTTACAATAATCGGCCTGGCGGCAGGAGAACTTCCAAGGGGAGAGCACTACCACTGCACCACGGCGACCCTTCACACTGTTGCGGGCAACCGCTTATTTCAACTCACTCTATCTCTACAAGCTTTGAGCAAGCAAACTTAGAAGGTTATTTTGAGAGACTCATATGGCACTTTTCGTTTCTATTTTTTCAATGCACTCCAAATCATCAATATACCTGGTTCTCAAAATGAAAGGACCATGATTAGTTGAACCCTTCCTTGATAAAAGGACCTCCACAAAGACTTTACAGCTACAATCTAGACACAATGTTTTGGGTTATTCATCACAATTTGAAGCTAGCTCGAACTGTTCAAGTTACTACGTTACTAGTTACTCTACCGCTAGCTCGACTCATATGTAAGCCATATGTAAGCGAAATACTATTGAGATACTACGTGTTCTACAATTCTATACAAATGAGAATCTTTTTCTATGATAACTCAGCTATTCAAATATCTATTTCAATGAATTTGACAGAACTGTAAGGGTAAATCGTGTTCGATCACAGTTGCCTATAAGTCAAACGACTTTTGTAAGTGTGCCTTTCCTAGACGCAATAAAACGATGCCATTATTAATTCACGTTTTTCTGCCCTCACCTCACAGAACTTCTTTTTTGATGGTGTCCCATCCTTGTGCACCAGGACCAAATTTGTACACAAGCTTCTTCGGATATAGGCCAGTTTTTGGCACTGGTACAAGGATTCGCTTTTCGTAATAGGTCCTGAAATAAGCGTGATTGTACAAACATTAAAAACCAAATTCAAGCATTCAATTCATGGGTGGAAATGACTCATTTATGCAGAAACTGCTTGCTCCATATTCGTAGTAGATGGTCCTGACCAACAACCTACAAGTGTTCTGAAGGTAACGATCTACAAGTGTTTCGAATGGTAGGATTTCGACGAACGGTATCAATCGACACAACTGTCAAATCAAAACCAAGAACGAAAACTGCCTGAACAAATTCGTAACCTATTAAATATATCGAGGATGCAGTAAGCTCTAAAAATTACTTCGTAACCTATTAAACATATCAAGGATGCAGTAAGCTCTGAACTCACGTTTAAATATGTCGCATTCTCCGAGCACACAAGGGCCACCACGAAGCAGCGCGCATGTAAATTTATGGTCTGAACGCTTTGATGGAATTTGTTCAGCTTTGAACTGTGGAGGTTTTTGGCACAATACCTAATGCATGTGGTCTCAAATGACTGGGGTATTCAAGAACAACCATGCACTGTTCCAAACAATAGGCATCTATACAATCTCGTTCCCTTTGCAGACAGCTACTGACTAGCCAAAAAATACGCCAAACTACAAATCCTGAAGTACTATGCGAATGAAGGTATGGTGTAGGAGATGTACACTGCTTTACATCATGATAGAGCCACCCATGAATTTACCAGAGCTCACGTTCCAGGGAACTTCAGGAAAAGGCTTGATATGGAAATTGTGCCCTACTGGGACCGTAACTTGTAGACCAACAACTAGTTCCATCTCAACAACACAGGCAATTTTCCCTTCGTTTTTTTAGGAAAGTTCACTTTGCCTGTTTTGCAAAATGATACAGCCACTGAGCAAATCAGTTTATTCTGCATCTAAATGATGAAAAGAGAGGACGTTACGCGATTAGTAATTAGTTGAGCCCCTATACCTCCCAGCTATCCCGAAAATACGATTGTCTAAGCTAAAGTAAGGCTTTCAATGGTCGATTTGGTGCCGACTAAACTTAGGTGCTCCGGCTGACGTGAATAGAAGCCTCATTCTGCTTGAATACTAGGTTTTGCTGCCAAATCTGACTCCAAAAAGGAGAAGAGCACGACGCATTACAACTAGGTAACCGGAAGATTCGAGCTTTCCCAGAGCAAATCATAAATGTAGACGATTACGAGAAGATATTGTCTCCTCCCTCAGGATTCCATCTGGAAAACTGGAGCTTATCCTTTCACAGATCGCCAGTAGGTTCGATTGCCATGTAAAACAACGCGTTAACACTTTTTTCACAAAAAATAACCTGGAGAAAGAAACACCAATAGAAGGAAGAGCAAACGAAAAGACATGAAAGACACTTTACTGCGTCGATTCGGAAGCAATTCCTGGCGGAAGCGACCCTGCTATCGCGATGCTTTTCGGTCACAAAGAGTGCCTTTCCTCATTCTCCGTCAGCGAAGAACTATTTTTGAGGGCCACCACTTCATTCTAGCGGGACGTCTCAGGAAAAATTTCGATCGTGAACTGGACGTTTAAGAGAGTGAAGTTTTACACAATATGATTTGATATCGATTTCCTTTGAACTCTCACGAAGTTCTTATTAAGACCTTATTAGCTAGGCTTTCGGTGATATCGGCCTCCTCAGAGCCTGAAATGAATCGAAACCAATTCGTGGTTGTTAGATCAAGGGTCTCAACAACTTTACGGAAGTTCGAAACCATCTAAGACAGCACGTAACCTGAAGAAGTGCTCACCGTCACTTCAGGGATCCTCGAAATCACCTAGCAACCGATAGTGAGACCAGGTCAGCTGTGCTTAGCCTTCGACGGAATCACTGCGGAAAGGCCAACTTTATGTAAGGCCTCAATTCCCGCGTAATTGTGAGGCCTTCGCCACTCTGGTCCATTTTTGGATTAGTGCCCTGTATGCAAAATGCCTCGAGGGACTTGCGCGCGCACAATTGCGTTCCTTGGCCACGACCTCCACGGTAACTTAGAGCCGTCTCCGTTCTGACTCGGAATGCGGTGGGCTCCTATGGCGGTAGACTGCCTCACTCGATTGCCATATAGGTACTCTCTAATTTTCACATGGAGTGATCTTGCCGTTTCACCGATATGCTCATCACCGCAGTTACGGCAAATGATTTTATAGACCGCTCTGATCATAGCGCAATCCCCTTCTCTGCCAGTTGGACATACCAAGCAATTTGAGGTAGTGGATGGGCGGTCGTATTGCCGATTTCGAACCAAGATTGAAGGGTAGGCTTACAATGGCAACTGAATTTTCCAGAACCGCCCTCTCGACACATTTTCTGATGGTGGCGCTAACCTCATCAGAGATAAATGGCAGTACAAAGGGACTCTTCCTTATATAAAAGTACCAGCATGTCTTCTGACCACGCCACTGGAAAAAGCTCTGTGAGTGCTCGAAGAAATACAGTAACCATTTAATTGGGCAATGTCGCGTGCCAATTCCAACGACTCGAATATGATTCAAGATATAATAAATCAGGTGAACTATGGGAAATCAGCCGATCACAGTCTGCGGGTCAAGCAAAGTAGCACTGACCTCGGGTGAATATCGATGACAATCACATGATTGATGAGTAACCTGTCTGTTCGCAAGGAAACGTTGGCGAACACCATTTCCCCAGAGGGTACAAACGAGCAGAAAGTACGCAAATACCCTCACTGATTTGCTTATCAGTGAGAGCGTCTCTGCCACGACCTCCGGGATTAAAGCCTCTCTTGCATCATTTCTAGATCGCTTCTCGCCATGGCAACCCCAAATATGCCCCTCTAACATCGAGATGCTTCCAATTAAAGATTTTGCAGAATCGATTACATCGTAACCTACAGTAACGGTCAAAAGTATTCGCCAAAACGGCTTTATGAGTACTTTTCCGTGCTTGACTGTTTTGCTTGTAAATATTACGTCATGTTAAGCATTGTCACATAAAACGCACACCACCTGCACCTCATTCCAACAGCTTTTACAGTAGGTAGAGGAGGTCATATGCACAATCTTTCAAAAGGAAAAAACTCAGGCCCAAGTAAAGGGTCATTTCATTGACAAAATTGCTGCTGCTGTTGACAGCTAAAGTTAAAACCACAGCTACTGCAAACAATTATTCTTCGTCGGAAAGCCACGACTTTTGATGATTGCTGCTGGTATTGATCCAATGAACTTCTGAAAACAGTCATCGGCATGGCGTTACATTCCCTCGCAAGTGAATCAAAATTTTGATCACTGCTGCTGCATGGCTGCTTGGTACGACGCCTCTCCAGCTCTTCACGTATGTGTTTGATCTGAATGAGGTCTGGAAATTGGCTTGGCCAGTTCAAAAGCCTCATATTTTCATGCTGAAACGAGTTTCCGCCGCATGAGAAATTGTTTCGTGTCAACGTCTTGCACCGGTCGTGCAAAACTGATCCGCCTGACATGTTATCTTCCGCCCACGGCAGTATTCTTTTCAATGACCATATTCGCGTAGCTTTGACCAGTCATCCTGCCTTCTTGTTTAACGGGTCAATCCCGTTGAACACGAATGCCCGCCCACCATAAACGACCCACCGCAGTGCTTAACAGAGGGTGTGGTGTATTTCGAATTGTATCTCCCACCAGCAGGACGTCTCACATGCTTGATACCATCCGACCCAGAGGTTGAACTTGCTCTCATCGGTAAAGAGGTCCTTGCTCGACTCGATTGAAGTCCAGTGCAGGTGGCGGCAAGCGAACTCTACTCTTGCCTTTCGATTCTTCGAGCTGATCAGCGTTTTTAGCGAGGCGCCTTCCAATCAGCCCTGCAGCATCGAGTCTTCTTGCCACAGTCCGCTTGCTGATAATCAGTCCATCATTGGCATTGAACTCAGCCGCGATCGAGGATGTTAAGCGTGGGATTGACTTTTGGGAGCCGAACAACGCGCTCATCCTAGCAAGTAGATGTTAAAAGCGGCCTGCTCATTCTGGAGCGCTGTCTACCGCGTTCCTCTCACGAACACGAGTGAGAATCGATGACACTGTGCGCTCTGGAATCTTCGGCATTCTCGCAATTGCTGTACCTCTCATTCCTGCTTCCTTCATATCCACTACCTACTAAATATTTATACATATACCAGTCGGATTCGCCCGGCTAACTCCGGGCCTTCCTCCTTTCTACGATAATGTTTCAAGAATCGGCTAACTGACCTACTCCTCCTTCATAACAGATGAAACTTTTTCGACCGCGAAATTAGACAGAGGACCAACAGGGCATGCAAAAGGTATTCAAAATGCGCGGGCGCTTATGCCTATGATTAGAACTCTTCATCTGTTGTTGATCATATTAGAAATAAAGACCAATTGAAGGTTCAACTGGTAGGCAACCAAGGGCATGAATAGATCTCACAAATGTTGGGTCATAATAACACCATTAACAAACGCCTTCATCAATGAAGCTTCCATTCTCTACGGATATATTATTAGATGAGATTCCAGGATTATCATCGGTCGGATTACTTTTGCCAAGAGTGGTATCGAAACAAAGAGAAGCCGTGATCCCTTCTTGAGTCAGAAACTTTGCTGTGTGGCGGTCGTGATCTAATTGTAAGAAATGGAAGAGTTTTCATATCCTTATAATTAAGTACTCTTAAGCGATCCCTATCGTTGCACTTACCCGTCTTCTCGGAGAGAACATAGCAAAGAGACAAAGCTAGATCGTAATAACAAAGACGTTAGAATTTGACTGATGAGTGGTTCTTGCTGTCTAAGGCCTGTTCTATCGTCAGTGTTCCCACCCTACGTCCAGCACTTCTACTGAATTTGAACGCTCCAGGCTCACCGTGACAGAAGTTATGTTTTTCCACTCAAACAATCATTTCGCGCAAACCTCGCCCCCTGTGAGCGGGATACAGTCCTACCACCCATCATAAGTGCTCTCTATTATATATAATCCACAAATTTGGTGTGTCTGTTTGTTTGTATGTATGCATGTTTGTTTGTTTGTCTGTCTGTCACGCAATCCGGTTTTACCTGAAAAAACACCTTTGGGGGTCGGACAAGTTAAGGATGGGTGGGGCCCAAGACAACATTAATAGAGCACATACGAGCTCTGCGGAGCTCCGCCCATGGGGTGCGGGGCAGGTGTCGGAATGGGCGGTGCCAACAGTCAAACATCGTCTTTTTGCTTCGAAAAAGTCCAGACACCAGGGAAAAATGTTCAAAGGTGAGGATTGGGTCAACAAACCAGATGGAGGAGACCCACGTACTGTGCGCGGAGCTTTCTCAAAATAGGCGGTACTTTTCAGATGTATTCATAACTCGATTCAATTAAGGCACAGAGGCCAGGAAAAAAAGTAAAAATAGTGAGCAGGGCCTTATGCGCGCTACGCATGCGTAAGCTCAGCGAAGCCCCGCCGAGAAGGGCGTGCGTTGAGACGAAAGAAGCTTTTCAAAAATGAACGCAACTTTGCTTGGAAACGTTCTAGAATGCGGGAAAAAAGTGGTTGGAAGTAATGGAACAAATGCGGCCACCTCGAAGTGGTGGGGTTGGCACTGAAGTGGGCGGGGCTTAGATCAAAAATTTATAGCTCTACTATTCAAAAACTTTCTGGGATGCGGCAAAAAGGTGTTAAGGTGTAAAAGAACAAATGTGGTCAAATCCCATAAGTGGGCGCGGTTGGCACTAAACTGGGCCGGGCTTAGACAAAAACTTATAACTCTATTCAGAAACTTTCTGGGATGCAGCAAAAAGGTGGTAAGATGTAGTAGAACAATTGTGGTCAGATCCCACAAGTGGGCGGGATTGGCACTAAAGCGGGCTTACATCAAAATTATTAAGTCTCTTCAGATGCGTTTTAGAACGCGGGAAAAAGGTGTATGGAGGTAAAAAAGTAACGTGGGTCGAAGTTTGAAGTGGATGGGGTTTGCAAAGAGGGGGCGGCGCTGAAATCAAAAACTCATACATCTGCCCTTCACACTAACCCTGACCACATAGGTGTACAAATAGGGGATACCACTAAACTCTTTCAAAAATTAGGTTAAAAATTTTTTAAAAGTTACCATGGTACCCATGGTTCCACAAACAGTAGTCCCTTCTACACAAGAGCAAAGGCACTACATTAACTTCAGTCTCATAAAATAAATTCTGCAGTAAGCCCGATCACACAGGTGAATAGGGTGTAGAGACGTGTAAATCCCCACAACTACCCAAAGGTGCTTTCCTTCCAAAGTTGGTGTTCATGGCCACACACAGTCCAAACTACATATTTTCTTCGACTACATGGACTGCAGAGGTGTTTGATTTGGATACATCGGAGTACTCTTCATGGCCACACACAGCCCCATTTCAGATCCCAAAAAATGATGGCCGCTACAGAAGTGTCAAGGAAGAAGCTTAGATGATAAAGGTCTATAATGAAAATCAGAAGCTCATGTGGCTTCGTCCCTCATTGCTAGAGCCCCTAGCGCACGCAATAGTGTGCGTAGCCGCCTGATCTATATATATATATATATATATATATATATATATATATATATATATAT